GGCAAGGTATAGTGTCTGCAGTGACTGGAGCTGGCTGAGCTCCTTGGCAATTCTGCCACTCAGCTGGTTTTCAGAAAGGTCTAGATGTTGCAGTGACTGGAGCTGGCTGAGGTTCTGGGGCATTTCACCACTCAGTTGGTTTCGTGCAAGGTACAGTGTCTGCAGTGACTGGAGCTGGCTGAGCTCCTCGGGAATTTTGCCACTTAGCTGGTTTTGGGAAAGGTCCAAAAATTGCAGTAAATGGAGCTGGCTGAGCTCCTTGGGAATTTCACCACTCAGCTGGTTGTGGGCAAGGTTGAGTGAGTGGAGCTGGCTGAGCTCCTCGGGAATTTTGCCACTCAGCTGGTTGTGGGAAAGGTCCAAATATTGCAGTAAATCGAGTTGGCTGAGTTCCTTGGGAATTTCGCCACTCAGCTGGTTGTGGGCAAGGGACAGTATCCACAGGGAGTGGAGCTGGTTGAGCTGCTGAGGGAGGTGTCCGCGCAAATCATGGCCATCCAAATAAACAGCATAGACCGCACCATTGAAATTGCAAGTCAACCCGGGCGCGTTGCATGGGTCCTTCGCCATGTTCTCAGCTTGCTTCTTTGGCATGCCAAGCGTTCGGAGAATGTCCAGGATGATGTCCTTCAGACAGCTCAGGGGGCAAAACTATCTGGTGCTGCCCATGACCCACAACATGAAATGACAGTCACTCGACCAATTAAGCCAATGAAAGCCCACCTGTCCTGCTGGCGCACGGAGGACACCAAAGACACACAGGCAAACCAGGCACGGACTGACATCATGGCGAAATTGCCCAATCACGATTCTACGATGTTCGAAGGATGGCTGAAAGCGATGGGTTTGAAGGAGGTTGGAACTCTAAAAAACCAACTCCATGCAAAGGAGTCTCCTGTGTCTCTCTCCATCGGAGCTAGCAGCTAGTACTGCATAGGATTGTTCTGAAACATCCACTGCAAGGACTTGAGTCACCACAAGCAACAATGGAAGAAAAAATCAAGAAGTTCGCACCCAGCAAGGAGCTGTGAAACAAGCAAGTGCTGTTCTCAGCTGCTTGTGGTCTACTAGTAGTGGGGGGGCCACTCACTACAGCTGCCAAATGCAACTCACAGACCGGTTGAAAAACATGCCAACACTTCTACCCACGTGTTCGTCATCGAACATTCACTACCAGCCACTGCCCAGTCGACGGGTTGCAAACAATGACCTGCCTCGGAGAAGCTTCCAGAACAAATAAGATGGGCCTTTTAGTCTACTGACCTTGTAGGTGAAGTTCTATACTAACCTGCCGCCCCGGGGTCGGAGTTCATGAGGGGCTCACCACCACTGACCCAGGTTTTGCGCTGCAAAAAGGGGGACGACGCATTGCGGGGTAGTGACTAGAGAGTCAAACACGCTGCACACAGAAGACAGTTACGAATGAGCTCTGCCAAATGCGTGTGATTCAACCTCTATAGTTCCACAACGTTCTTACGTTCCCCTTGCAATCTCTGGCATCGTTTCCCGCCGTGGCAGGAAAGTACCATCCAGCAAGCCCAAAGACCCTTCGAACCCGTTCGCTGTGCCAACATCTCGCCCCAAGCTGCATGTTCCAAATGTAGCTGAAGCCGGTGAGACGCCCCTGGAGTTCGTGGTCGACACCCGGGTGGCCAGAGACGGGGGTCGCACAGCTACACCGGTGGTGGGGCCTACACCCTGGAAGACTAACATAGACCCTGAAAACCACTGGTTGGTAGAGGCAAACACTCTTCCAGGGGGCCCTTGTCAGGGTCTATGTTAGTTTTCGGGAGTGTAACTCAAATTGGATCTGGGCTAAGAACCTCCCTCTCTTCCACATTTTCCCACCTGCAAACCCGAAGCCACTGCCTCCTTGGGTTAGCCAACCACTGCCACTGCCTGAGGAGTCCTGATTCCGATTGCCAGAACGCCGGCGACGGGGACGGCGGCGGCGGAGGCAGCCTGGCAGAGGCCCTTCTCGGCGAGCCATAGGAAGCACAATGCCAGCTCAGCGGCAAGGCTTTGGCCCCGCACGAAGACCGTGGGCCTTCGCTGAGGGCAGTGAGATCTTTTGAAGAAGCGCCGATCGACCAAAATTCATCAAAGTTTGTCGACTTTTCCACTCATCACTGGTGTTCAAACGTCGTTTTGGCAGGCCCCTATGACTTTGGTACTTGTGTGAGAAAAAAAGAAGCTATACACACAACTAAATGCACAAACGTATTATATAAGCAAGTGATCTTTCATGACACTCCTTTTGCTGCGTTCTCATGTGACACCAAAGGTTCCGTTCTCACACTTGAAACCCGGAGACGTCTTCCAGATCTTCACCCGAGCAGCTGAATGCGTGAGAAGGAGATGGCAGGCACCGCGGCACGCACCAGGGGACGCTCGGCGGGAGCGTCGGGCGCATGCGACGCCGCCAGTGTGGCGTAGGAGGTGTTGCCCAGCAAACTGTAGCCATGGCAGCCCACCCGGCCATCACCTAAGGAGGCCAGTGGTGCCACTGGTGGGAAGCACTGGAAAAGACCATGGAATATAGATATGTCCTGAATATGCATGATGGGTACTCCAATGTTGGGCTGCTGAACGGTTAATCATCCTGAGTACGAGGCATCCATCGCATCGAAGATGCGCCCTGCCCCCAGGGTACTCCCCATTCGCCGAGACTCAAAAAGTAGAGAATATCTGGAGTCATCGAGATCACATACTTTGAGGTTTGAAGGGGTCCTTCAATTCATGTTCATTCTATCACATTCGGTCGACATGAGCATGACATAACATGAGTGTATCCTCTTACGAATCTTACAAACAGCATGAAAAAGCGCTTTTCGGGTAAGGTGACAGCTGTGGAAAAGCACACATTGGCTAGAGGTTCCACATGACTGTTGGACACACCATCCCATAGCCTTGCAAGACCACGAAAGGAAAGGTTGAGCAGGTTGTGCCAGTTGCAAAACCATGATTGATCGATAGAGGCTCTAAAACCAATGGCGGTTGGAATCGGTATCGATGTGCCTGATTTCTTTCAAGCCCTACTACCCCTGATCTCCCAGTCACACCAACTTTGCTGGCCCAGCCAATCCAACACCACGGCCGCATCCGCACGCCAGCGTTGGAAGACCAGATCCGCAACCTCTTCCAAAGGCCCTGAGGCCCGCCATAACACGTAGGCATAGCCCTGCGCCACGTATCGCGGGCCCTCGACCGCCACCAAGGTGTCCTCAGGAGGCGCGGGCGTGGTCCGGGTGGAGGAAGCGGAAGACGCCAGCGTCTCGGCCGGCGATGGCCAAGCCCAAACACCATATGGGATTCTGGAAGGGTCGTGAGTCGTTACTTGGCATAAAAACATGCAGCAAAATCACGTGGAAGACATCAAAAACAGCAAAAAACCTAAAGAAACACTCCTTTCCCTCTCTCTGGGGTGTCTGGGGTGGGCACGAGGTGGGCACTCTTCCCTTGCTGGAGCCCTGGGACCGGACCACCTGGACGGAGCCCTGGGCTCCCCACAGGAGCGACAGATCCGGGGGAAGGAGGTGGCCATGCTGCCACCACGTCAGCTTCGAGGTACTGATCATTGGAGGTGAGGACGGAAGATCTGGAGGTGCTGAAAGGAACATGGGGGATGGCCTAGAATTTCCTCCATTGCCATCCTCCATCTATGCACGAGACCCTGCAAGTCCTTGCACATCCCAGTGGGGTCTTCTAAACAAGGTCTTGTAGGACAATCAAGTCTGCATCAATCCTCTTTCAGCCATGTTCTCCTTCGACCCTCGATCCATCCTGCTCTTGCCAGGCGTCCGCCAGCGTGTAGTAGCATCCCACATTCACCAGCACCGTCGGCACGCGCTCCGCCCGCCGCACCGCCGCCGGGGTCAACGCGATGAGTTCCAAACGTCCATAGTGCGAGGTCAGTTCGACCTCCTCTTGAGTGATGTCCACACCTGAAGTTCAACACCAACACCGTGCCAGCTGGTGCCAGAGTGGAGGATTCAGCGAATGTGGGCTTCAGGGGCCCAGAAATCGTCTGTTGCATTGTTTTCTGTGGTTCTTAGAGCAAGGGTGTCCAAGGAGAATAAAACCGAATTGCAAGGCAATGGAACGAACATGAACTGGTTCCTTCCTGCTCTAAGTGGCTTCCTCCCTCCCTTCCACCAGGACCCCAAAAAATGCCAAGGAGCCACGGATGAAGAAACAAGAACAAAAGAAGACTGGACAAAATCCCTCTCCGCTTTCTGCAAGGGAGTGGGGTCACCAAAATGGGAAGGTGAAGATAATAGTGAAATCCAACTGTTGTGATACCGTGTGACTTCTGGAATCTACCCGGCCATCATGTCTACCACCGATACCGAGTCATGTTGACTCCCCATGGCCTTTTCGCACGAAGGACATGGGGTGAACGAACCACGGTCCTGCTCGGCCCCAACACGGCCACCACCTGGTCGACCTGGTCCACCTGGTCACCGGTCGCCCGTTGAACGAGAATCCCCTCCGAGTCGGAAAGAGTTATGCCGCTATGGTGTTGCGCATCGTCCATCCTTCACCGCCAAAGACCCTGAAAAAAGAAGGACGCGGTCCTAAGCGGACACTCCCAAGAAAAGCCTCCCAAAGCCACCCCTTTCTCGGCCACCTTCGTCCTTCGTTCTCTCCCCCATCCGAGTGACCCAGGTCACTGGCGCTCGCAGCTCTGCCCATCCGACCCCTACGGCTGGTGAGGCGCTTCCAGAGGCCCAAACCTCGGGCGATTGACACAGAGAACTTCCCCCCCTGGACCTTCGGAGTGTCGGAGACCCACGAATTACGTGATGTATACCCTAGGCTTCCAAGAACCATCAATTTAATAGGCTGAGTCCCGAATCAACTAAGGATTTTACACCACAAAAACCAGGTCGTTCCCATGTTTTTAATGGTCTTGGAAGTCTAGGGTATAGGCTAGGGCGGCTAGGGCATTCCATTCGAGACCCCGAACCTAAGGCACTGCCTTCAAACCAAGAACCCCCTATTTGTAGCTCCTGCCGACTCCAGGACTCCCCAAAAAGCGCTTCCGGGGTAGCTGGGGGGGGGGTGGATGGGACTCCATGGCAAGGCAGGTGCTCACAGGGTCGTTGGGACCCTGGGGGTCACCCCACCAATAGAAAAACCAGCCCCAGGGTCATCCAATGGGTGTCCAATAGACTACCCTACCTGACTTGCAGGGCCTCCATGGGGCACCATTGGAAGTGCTAGGCTGCGAGGGCTGTACCCTCTATGTCGACTCACGATGGAACGGTTTATGGATGGTTCGTGAGTCGTGGTCGGGCCCATCTGTCTCTAGGAGTTAATCTTACAGTCACCGCGAAATCCCTTCATAAGCTTATTTTTATTATCTATTGTGGCTTCCCACGTTTACCTATGGCATTAATCTATCTTTTAATATTGGAAGCCACAATAATATATTAATCTCTCTATATATTGGGGATGCATAGGAGGCCAAAATAATATAATATAATGCATCCCCAAATAAGTAATATAATAATAAAATATAGGAAATTGCATTATAAAATATCTTAATTAATTTGGCAATTTCCTATGTGTCTCTTATCTTTTATGTTATTCCACCATTAATTTGCTTGCAACGTCATGTGCTACCGCCCTCTGTGCCACCGCGCCCGGCACGCATGGCCCTCGACCCAGCCGTGCGGTGCACGGACACTGCCCAGCGGCGTCCCATCACCGCCACGGCCAGCCCCAAGCGTGACGATGTCCCCCGAGAGGAGAAGCACCGGACCCATGGCCAGGCCTTGGACAGCCACTGCGGTGCGTCCGGACGGCCGCGGGGGCGGAAGAGAGAAGACGTGAGCTCCGCATCTGGACGAAGTCACCGCGGATCGAACGGCCGAAGTTCATGGAAGTCACGGCTCCAGGGTGGTCAAAGGACCTTCTCAATCCCAGACACGACCTGGACCTGGGACTGGCATGACGGACTGCCGATCAAGCCAGACCCCCAGTTAACCACCCCTGGCCGTTTTGAAGGCAGTCCGGACTGGCAGTCCCATGGAGTGTCTGGGAATGGGTTTGGTGGGTTTCGTGTGTGTGTGTGTCATAATGTTGGGTCTTCGCGGCTAGTACCAAGAACGTCATCCGCAGCTGATGCTCAAGGTCAATGGCATTAAAAAAAGGAAACTCGGTAGGGATTCTACTGACTCGGTCTTCTTCCTTGTGGATCTTATGATGTTACATGATGTGACCACCTCAAGCTGGAACCCTTGGTGCCTTGTGAGACCATAGGCGCCTGCGGTACCCATGAAGGAACTGCGCGAGGCCGCCGTAGGCCGCTGGACAGCGCGGCCCCTCGGACCGCGAGAGCTCGGACGGGCGGTCGCAGGAGTGGCAACATGTAGGGCGCCGGCTTCAGCATCGAACATGGACCCAGGTTCGCCCAAGTTCTGCCATGGCAGCGGCCGAGGTTTGGCTTCGGGGGGTGTCTTTCTATTGAAGTTCAACCCCCCCAAGTGATGGGGATGGTCTGCAGGGCAAAATGATCGCCTCCAAGATCTGTTGCATCTGACTGTGTGGCTTGGCAGCTCCCACTCACCGTCCCAGGTCGTAGCTACAGTCGGATGCGACTCGGACAGCGGGTTCCAAGGTTGGCTATATTAATGGGCCCAACCCGGAAAAAGTGTCACACTTTCACCAAAAGGTAGGTTGCCCCACCCATAAGCTTGGTGTGGACCTTGCAAACACAAGAAGTTTCACAAAACCGCTGGCCCACACAGAAGAACTTCCTGAGACTCGGCTAAAAGTGGGCTGGCTCAACCACTGGGCATCACTAGGTTAGGAGTGGAAAGCATCTTCTTTAGCAGCGTCCCTTTGGCTGCCAAGGGCTATTTTGAGGCCAAAACTCTGACTAGCTTGGTCTAGCTCGGAGACCAGCTGCCTCACTTGTGTCAGAGCTTGAGCCTGAGCTGATGATTGACATCCAAGTCGCAAACAACATTAAACAATCAATCCAGACAAACCGCTCCCAGCACTGCGAAATCCACCCAAATCCGGTCAACCATTGTGGAAGCTGGTTGGCCCAATCAAATCAGGTGATCTCAATGACTTGACCATCGACTTCACCCTTGATCGAAGTCAGAATGAACTGCACAACCTTGCCAAATCTCAGCCCCACCTCACTTCATGAGCTCCTTGTCTCCGGCTTCGTTGCTAGGCCTACTAGGTCGGATCGACTCCAGGGAGCGCTCCAACTCTTCCAAACCGACCTCCCCAATCAGGGACCACCTCGACACTCTTCCCGGTCAGGAGCCTCCACCCCTCTCCACGCCCCCACCGGAGACGCTCGCTGAGCCCGACCCGTCCCGACCCGTCCCGACCCCCGCGCCGCGGGCGGGGGAGGGCACCCGGAGAGGTAGGCGACGCGCAAGCCGTGGAGCTCCCGCACCCCGAGGCCGCCGAGGAAATGGATCTTCCTGACCCCCACGACCCCTGGAGCCGGTCAGACCCGGAGGATCCCGAGGACTAGGACGGGTGTGGCGGTTCCGGGGCGGGGCGGTCAGCACCGAACCGTTGGGGCGATGGTTTGGGTGCCGGAGACCAGAGGACGGTGTTTTCTTTCTTTGGGGGGGGGAGTGGAGTCGGGGGGAAGTGGCGGCTTTTGGAGCGTTCCGGTGGGCCCGGAACCTCCGAAGTCGGGACCGGAACATCAGAGCGTGGAGGGGGGGAGCTGTTAACCAGAGCGGGGTCAGGCACTTGTATCCGACACAAGCTGGAGAGAAAAGTCCATACCCCACTCAGAATGTCTTGGAAACCGTGCCATCGATCTGTTGGGGACCACTATAGTCTTAGGGTGATCTGTGAAGATCGTACGAAATCGATCGTTGGTACACATCTGTGGCCTCATTTGGGCCCCCGGCTCACACAGCTGTTTCCCTTCGGGAGCAGCCTCACGGCGGTGTCGGGTCCGGTGTCTCTCGCAGCTTTGAGTAGTAGCAGCTCTTAGGGCAATCAATATCAAGGTCAAGAGAGAACCCAACTAACTTTGAACTATTCGCAGCATGTTGGCAGACCTGCTATTACGAAGAAGCAGCTACAAAATGCTACAAAGTTGGCTCGCACAGGGGAATGAGGGCCGCCCAAGACTGTGAAACATGCCACCCAAACACATTACAAGTCTTGTAGGCCGTTTTTTCTTCATCTTGGGGATGCTTACCTTAGAGAACCGACCGCCGTGACTCAGCCACAATATGACCCAGTCGTTCCTTGACGCGCGCGTGTACGCCTGCAGGAAGGCTGCACTTCTGCTGTCGATGAAGAAGGTCTCAATCGGCACCTGCTTCCAAGCGCCAAGCTTGGAGAGTCCATAAGAATCCGGGCCAAAACCAATCCCAAACCATTGACCCTGAACATATCTTTCAATCACCCCACATGGAGCGCAAAATATTCCATGCATGGAGCGCAAGGGAATGGAAAGGATTTGGAGGATCCGCACCCCTGCCAGTGTCGAGTCCGACCCCTGCCATGCAAGATCCAAGGATTCTCAACCTATGCCCACCGACCCACCCACCTATTGATTTGAGTGGAGTAACCCTTGGTTGCAGCTTTGCTTGATCCCGGGATTCGTCACAACACGGCAAGGAAGAGCAAAAGGAGGAGCACTGCGGCATGGTTTTTGCCGAATCTTTGGTGGGGCACCTCCACTTGAATGAGTTTCCTGTCACTCTTTTGGATAGTGCCAGTGTGCCACACCTCCATTCTAGCCAAAGAGGGGACCGCAGCGCGCGACGCAGTCGGACTGGGTTGTATTCCTTCAGGAGCTGGCTCAAACCCTATCCCGGCAGAACTCCCCAGAAAAGGCTGATCTGATAGCTCCATGGGTGTGCATTCGAATTAGAACTCCTCCAGGCAATGGGTGAGCATCCGCACTCCCTGGACTGCACCCCCTCAAAAGGTCTTTGGACCCTTTATATAACCCACCCCAGTCCCACCCTCAGGTACTTGCAGCCCTAGGGCCTACAGAGGATTCCCAGGGAGTGGAGCCTTCCCGCTCCTTCACAACCTCCGACTCCTCACGATCCGACCGCACCAGCGGCCCGCGACCGCACCGCGCCTTCCGCGTGCCGGACACGAATTCGGCCAAGACGGCGCCAGACTGGGAGGAGTCGATGAAAGGCCGGGAGCCCAGTTCGGTCGATGCCGGGAGCCCAGTTGGGTCGGGTACGGACCTGTTTAGGGTGAGAGCAATGGGTCGATCGAATGTCACTCGAACGTCCGGATGTGACGGGTCCATGTGCTATACATAATGTTGACCTCGATCTGATTAATAAAGGGATCCGAAATAAAGTTAGCCAATTCAATTCTAATTCAATTCAAATGAAATTTCAATTCAATTGGATTTAGATTTAATTCAAAGTCAATTCCAATTCAATTGAACCTAAATTCAATTCTAATTCAATTCAAGTACAATTGAATTTAAGTTTGCTTCAAATTCAATTCCAATTCAATTCTAATTTGAATGCTAATTCCCCTTGATGCTATTAATAATTTTAATAAGGGGTCATGTCATTTCTAAGTTAAATTCTCTCTTCCCTTTCATTTTAACATTTGTTTTAGTAAGGGATCATGTCATTTCTAATTAAGATTCTTTCTTGGAACGTGGAAATATACTTTATTTAGGGTCGACCAAACTTTCAAGATTTGCCACCCCCATTTATTCATCAAAGGTCAACATTACAGTAATGTACAGCGTCCTGTACAGGACGGGAAGCGGATGTCACAACAGATCGGACCATCTGTTCCACCACTCGAGGCCGATGCTTCAGTCGTTTCCTTTCCACGCTGGGCCCCGTTCAGTCGAAGGGACGAACGTTCCCTGTTCCGAGGTCGCCCGCCTCGCTGTCGCCCAGGGCGGGCAAGAACCTAAGGACAGGTGAGGAGTGAGTAGACTGAGTAGACCGGCCTAAGGTCTGAAGAAGTTCGAACATCGGGACCTGCCCAAAAGAGAAAAATAACTCATATCCAACTTGAGAGGAGGGAGACACGAAAGGTAGGACAGCGGGAAGAGAAGAGAACGCGAGAGGCAAGAACAAAAATGCAATGTTTGACATGGTGATTTATCCCCTCGGAGGCGACCTTTCGTAAATATATATATATATATATTCATATGCACTCTAAATGTTCAAACATATGCTCTCGAAATGTTGAAAAAGGTTCTTAGGAAAACAAACTTGCCCCATGGCTCAGATCATCGGTGAGCATTGAATCGGAGCATCATGGGATTGGAACTATCCTGAAACCATAAGAGGCTCACTAAGACGTTCCCCAGGAGAGAATTGACGTGCTTCACAAAACAAACTCTAGGTATGTATCCCCTCGAGGAACACCTTTCGTGATTAGAATTTCATATGCACTCTTTCTGAATGTTCAAGAGGGTTTCAACATGTTTCAACTCTCCTGAAATCATGAGGCTCACGAAGACGTTCTCCAGGAGAGAATTGAATTTAAGGGGGGGGGGTCTGTTTTGAAAAAACAATTCGAGGGGGGGGGGGTTGAATTGAATGATCAATTATTAGACCCGGACGCGCCAACACTTGCTTCGCAAGACAAACTCAAGGTAATCCCCTAAAGGGCTACCTTTCGTGACATCTTAGTGTTGAATCGCATCGAATGAAAAAAGAAAAGATTTGAAGCTTTGGAGACGGCCCACCCTCGCACTGGCAACCACAGGTGGTGTCAGGTTTCTTGAGGCGACATGGATTTGGCTAAATGAGTTTGAGCTACCCTGCCTGGCCAAAAGTACACCGGTTGATCCCGGTTGGATGTAAATTGATAATACTTATACCTGAAGAGGACTGGGATCATCTTAGGATTCCCCATGACGATTGCCAAGTACCTCCCACTTTCCCACTTTTTGAGGCCCAAGAGCGCGCCCACAGCGAAGAGCGCATTGAAGGCGCCGACCTTCTTCTGCTGCGTCTCCACCTGTGGCACCGGAGCGCAGGCGGCTAGTCCGCTGTCATCGGCGGTGGTTGGGTGTTCAAAGACCTGAAAAAGGCGGTCGCTCGCATGAAATCATCATGAAATCACTCGAGACCCAGCTCGTCCCACCACAGAACCTGATAGAACGAGTCACAACCCACAAAAGCAACCCACCGCCCTTCCTTCCTTCACCTTCACCGAACCGCAAAAAGAAAAACCAGAGAGCTTTTCGGCGCCGCGCCCCTGACGGAACCCTACCCCTGCACCGGCACCCGGCACCCCTTCTTTTCGCTTAGGCTTTCGGCAAAAGCCGGTCCACCAGATCGGCTTTCTCCAAACAACCCTCAGCGGATAAGCCACTGGCCGCCAGCCGCGCCTCGAGGAACGGTGTCTGGAGGAGAAAAGCCTTCTGAAAGCCAAGTGCCTTACCTGTTCAAGCCTGAGGGTTAAGATGGTTTGTTGAGTTTCATCAGTTGTATCATCATAATATCATCATAATATGCAGTATGTTAACAGATTCAACTGCCATTGTTCGGTTGCACTCCTCCCAGGGAGTCCAATCTCAAGCGTTTTTGGAAGCATTCAACTCTCCTGGTTCCTGAGCTAGACATGTCCATGTCAAACTGAACGCCCACCTACATCCGCACATCTTCACGGTGAGTCTTCACGACCCCCCCCCTCCAGTCCCTAAATCATCCTAAATCACTCCAACCGCGGTCCCGCGGCGATGGTGAGAGCTCCGATGCCGGAAGCGGCCGCCTTGAGCTCCTTCAAGGGTAGCTTCATCAACTCCTCCCGGGAATCCGGCCTCGAGCGAAGGGAGGTCAGGGCAGGACAGGACACGACATCGAGGCAGTTCGAAGGTGGCACGACCTTTCACCCCCTGGCACCACCCGTCAAAACGCCAGACGCATCGCCCGCGCGGAACGCACCGATCGGAACGCCACTGACACTTCCTCACTAGGAGCCCCGCACCCGGCCGCATCCAGGCCTAGCTTGTGCCGCCCCACCGCGCTCACCGTGCTGGCGAACACCTGCGCCCCAGCGCTCACGGGCCCGGCGGACACCCCGCGCGGCCCGGGCGGCGCCGCGCTCAGCCGCAGGTGCTGCCCCTCGGAGAGGGCGCTGCAGGCGTCGCCGTCGTTGAGCTCCTCGCCCTGGTCGTCGAAGATGCGAAGATTGGAGAGCCTGGGAGGTTGCGGACATGAAAACAGAGAATCCAAGACGAGCACCGTTGGCAGCGGCTCTGGTCATGGACAAGTCTTGAGGCTCGGTGGAAGTCTGGAGGCAGCAGACATACCTCGCCATTTGACATAACACCAAACTGCACGACTTGCTAATGAGATCCACTCAAGGTCATGGAACTTCTACATGCTTCTGGCCCAGTTGGTGTCTTCGCTTGAAACAAGGTGTGTCCTCCGGCCTTTAGGCCGGCCTAAGGTCGGGTTCAGGGAAACCACCCAGTTTCCCGGATCCACATACCGAACCTGAGGTACGGTGGGAGACTAGGAAACGGTGGGCGCGCGCGGAGGGGTCCAATGACCTGAGAAGATGGCAGTGGATCGATAGGTTTTCTCCATTTTCTCCTACCAAGTTCTGGGTCCGCTCGACCTCTTTCCTCTTGGGTTCGCCTGATCCGAGGCACGCTGCCACCGCGTGGCAGAAGGGGATGCTGGGCCACCTCAGCGTCCAAAAAGCCGTGAACTCGGAGCTGTGATGCATGGAATCCATGCCCCTTCTACTGGGCCCTCCAATCACCTTCTAAGAAGGTACTTGGATCCCTAGGGCTGGAATTCCACCGGCTGGAATATGTTTATATATATATGCACGCTAGAAGTCCAAAGACTATTTCTGGCGCCACCGACGTAAAGGAAACTCTTTCGGGTCACCGACTGACCATTTTGTTCATGGTCTTGGACTTCCAGGGATATCATAATGAAATATGGTTCTTTCTGAGGCTTTCCTATTCTGAGGATTGTTTTTCCATATTTTTCATGTGTTGTTCATTGCGTTTGTTTCTGTATTATTATGTTCACATCATCCCGAGCTGGACCGGGGCTGAGTCGACCTTCCACTTCACATCCGAGCTGTCCAATCCCCCAGCGTCCTCCGCAGCTGAGACCTCCGACAGCTTGTCAATGGCGCGGTTCTTGGCAAAGCCCACGTCCTGCGAAGGAAGGCCGGGCTTTCCACAGTCGAGGATCAAATGTAGTCCAAGAATCTACCACCTGTAACAGCCCGTTCTCTCCCCTCCCACCCACCCCGCTCTCTCCCTCTCTCCCTCTCTCTCTCTCTCTCTGTCTCTCTGTCCGTCTGTCTGTCTGTCTGTCTCTGTCCGTCTGTCTGTCTGTCTCTGTCTGTCTCTCCCTCTCTCTCTCCCCATGCATCTGCCCGAAAATAAATGGGTGTCCCTTGGCACAGGCATCAGCCGCTGGAATCCCTGTGGCGATCATCTCAGCTCCGGTCCTTGCCCCGCGGCACCTCCACCTCCGTGGCCAGGCCCGTGGTCATCACCGTTAAGAGCGTGGCCTCATCCTCCGTCACGGAGAAGTGCAGCTTCAACATGGCCCGAGGGAGCTGGAGCTGAAACAGGGCACGAGTTCGGCACGGAACAATTCGAGGTCACCTAACCTGGTTCAGCACCGACGACACCCGACTGGGCACCGAGAAAAAGGTGTCGGTGTCGAACACATCACCGTACCTGACCCTACCTCAGAGGGTACGTGGATCCGACTGGGGCGTGTGACGAGCGGAGGACGTGTGACGACCGCGATGCCATGAACGTACGTGAGGCTCGTTTGGTTTCTGGTGGGGGGGGTATGGTGGATCACTTTTGTGTGAAATGTATTGAAATGTTTGATCACTTCGTTCTGAAATGCCTGATGTCTTTTCGGCGAAGTGTGGTTAGTGTTGCCAACATGGGAATATGACGGATGATTTCGTGCAAAATGCCAATCTGCTGTTGCCAATGGCTTGAGCTTGATAGCTGATAGCTGATCCGATGGCCACGTCAGCCCGCGACGAATCCGCGTTTTTCGACCGCGAGCTCCTGAGAGCAGCGTTAGAAGTGAAGGAAAGCCACAGGGTCACCTGGAGCTATCCATATTTCTTGGGTCCATCTATCATCTATCCTACCAGGCCACTGTGGATGATGATGGTTAGGTTGCAGGCCTTCTTCAAAAAGAGCGATTTGCCCAACATCTTCCCCTTTCAACAGCCATGGAGCCTGCCCCCGCCGATCGTTCCCCTGATACCGTTCGTGCACTGCAGATCAGGGATGGTCCGGTCATCATTCACAGAGATTGGGTCATGGTCTCTCGACGGCATCCCGCAACGGTCCTCCGAAAAAATCCCGACCCTACACGGACCCAAAGCAAACCCGCAAGCAAATGGGAAAACAAAAACACGTACCATTTATCATCATGTATCGAAACTTTTCTAAGTGTTACCCCAGACACTCCATAAAACTGGCATATTTACCTACATTGACCCCTCAAACCACCCCAATGTATACCATACATGGAGTGTCTGGGTATGTTCTTTGAAGCTGCAAGCAGTGGAAACCTTGCAGTTCGCCTCCCGCCGTTGGCCTCGCGTTCCCTCGCGGCCTGGCTGTAGAGCTTCGCCAGGCCACCCTCCACGTCCCCCACCAGCAGCAGGCGCCGGCGCTCGTCCATGGCCGTGGTGGGTGGGACCGTGTTTTTGGTGAGAAAATTTCGTCAGAATGTCAAGTGGCTGGGGGAGGTTTTTGTCATACTTGCAAGAAACATGTCTGGATCGATGGTAAAAAACGAAGGAAACAGTGAACATGTCGGATATGGTGTTCGAGTTCAAGGTGAATGATAGGTTTTCGGATGCTTTTGGGAAATGGTCACGAAATGAAAATGAAAAAAAACGGTGTTCGAACGTCTTGCCCCTTCGACACCGGAACGGCTTGCTTGGTCGACACCGGAGTTGTTGGGCGGGGCAGTACATCCACCGTCCCACGTCGAAGTTCGGTGGTGTCCATGATGAGTTCCATGTGGTTCTGTCCTGGTTGGTTCACAAGCCTCTTATATAGTGGTTCCTTAGCCGCTTTCCCATGGTTCCTGGCCTGTATCGACTTCTGCTTTCTCATGTTGAATCTACAGCTGCGGTGAAGGAAGAATTCAAAACCAGTGAGACACCGGCGGTCCTAGGTTCACGCGGTGGTTCACCGCCGAAACGGGGGAGCGGTCCCTGTCACCGCCTTGTTCTACCACCTGCGCAGCACTGGTCGCAAGCACCCTGTCACTTGTTTGAGAGCAAAAATGGGGAAGCTCAAGTGGATGTCAGTGGCTGCTGAATGGACCCCCTCTTCGGAATTCAACTGCCAAGTTGAAGCTCAAGTTGAATGGACCCCTGAACTTTCAGGACTCAACTCCGCCCACAGATCCGCGCTCCAGGCTGCTGGAGGTCTCTTCCTCCAGTGCCTCTGCTCCGCTTTTCCGCGCAAAAGGTGCCTGTTCTTTGCGGACGTCCCCGAGGTGAAGGACACATATGCTCCCCGCACCCGAGTGCCAACCGGAGTGGGGCTTTGCCTGCCCACGGCGGAGTGGGCTGGAGGATGAAACGTTCCCCTAATTGAAACCTCCAGGGAGAGATTCTCTCAATCCCTATTCATCCTCGGCCCCTGCATCCAAATGACGCGAGGCGCTGTTCACGGCACTGTGCTCCCTACCCTGTGTTCGGATCTTGGAACTACATGGTGTGAGGGGCTATCACGCACTCAGCTCGGGTCACCTTGGCTCCAGCTCCTTGAGCTCCTTCAGCTTGCTCGTGAACTCCTCGACCGACAAGCCACAGACTTCACCCACGGTGCCGTCCAACGCGTTGAAGGCCGCGTTCTTGTGCGCGGCCGCCCGGCCCTTGGCAAGGCCATTGGCATGTTCACCGGTGCCTTGCAGGATCAGAACTTGCATCTCATACCTCACCCCTCATCTATTATAGTCTACTGTATAGTTATAACGTTAGTCATCCAATCGGACAGTACAGAGGGGCTGGCCGGATTTCTGAAGCATGGGAGAATGCACGGTTCAACAGGCAGTAAGCCTCCCAAAGAGGTCCAAAGCACCAATAGAAACCCTCAGAAAATAAAGAACACAAGAACCCCTGCCAGAGTCACACATGAGGCAGAAGAACTTCCCCGTCTGGCTGCGGAGGCCCCCGAAGACAATCTCTTCGTCCGAGAGGGGCAGGTCACCGGTGCCTGTGGCTTTCACCTTGAGCTTGCTTTTGCCTTCATACTCCTCAGCGCAGGACCCCACCCTACCCCAGGCTTCAGCGAAATGGCTTGGCTCCGGGGCACCTAGCGAAACGGTGCCTCGCCGCCCCAGCCTTTAATCCCAATTCTTCCGAGTGACTTTTGAGCCGTTCGATGGTCACATGA